CCAGTCCTCCACCAGTGGGTTTCGTTGTTTTCTCGTGTGGGTACAGGAGTTCTGGGTATATGAGCTGGCAAGATTTCCATCTACGGCCCTTTGAGGATAGCCATTGTAAGCAATTGAGGACTGAGTCACTTTTCCACCTTTAGCAATATTAGTAGTACCTGGAAAAAGTAACAACATTTGTTAATAAATATTGTTTAAGGAAGGCAGAGAAGTTTTAAATGGGTTTATCTGACCAAAGTTAAAGGAAAATACAGGCAGTTTGCTTATTTCATTTAACTTCAAATATGACTGTTTGCTCCAATGGGACCCTTTATCCTGAACAAAGGATCAGTTGCAGCAGTGTTACCTGAAGCCTGACTGGTGACTTCCGCCTAACAGAATGTCTTTGCCTGTCCGTTATAAATCATCTACTGGACACTTTGTGTCACTGTATGGTTTTTTTAAATCACCTTTGTGTGTGCGTGTTTATTATTGAAGACATAATACATATATCTGAAAAACATGAATTTTGGAACATTATTGAGAACATTTGATTGAAACATTTAAAGAATATACTCACCAACATCGCCATATGTCAGTCCGAGAAAAGCCAACAAGGCAAAGAACACAGCTGAAGTCATCGTCCTGTGAAGATTGATCTTCTTTCTCTAGTTTGCTCTAGTGGAAAATATACATTACAGTTCTCTTAGTTTCCAGTTGGAGCGTTGCTGCTGTATTGTTAGATGCAATTCATCTAAATCAATACTGCCACTAAAATCAATGCTGCCACTAATATTGACAAAAATGTATTCCCTGAGCTTTTCCCTCCAAACAATAACAGAAATATACAAAACAACAGTGGCTTCATGTTGAGGATCATCTCACACTACTATACACCCAAGGTCTGAACCACATTCGGATCATAACTTTTTTTTTTAAATGATCTATAACACATCACATCGTTAGTGAATACAAGGATTATTTTCAGTACAAATGAACAATTTCAAGTATAATAAAGTTGATCAGTAAAAGACCTACCTGGAAGCTCTTCAGATCTCTGGAAGCAGCTCTGAACCTTGAAGAAGCTCTGAACCTTGAAGCAACTTTGAATCTTTTTAAACGTTTGGCGCAGATCATTATTGACAGATTATTATTGACAGATTATTGACGAACACCCTCTGCAAATAATGGTTATTATTTGCATCTCCTGTTAGTAGTAGTAAACATCCTGTGTTTTCCCAAAGAAAGGTTAAGGGGGCTGAGCTAGTAGAGCATTATAACGGCATGCAGTACATGGGTTCTGCATATAAAATATCTGTTAAAACTGAAATGTTATTTAATTACATTACATGACATGTCACTTGTTGAATTGGGCAGATTTCAAGTCGTGACTGGTCTGTAAACTGTCAAGCTGATCTGGCATAGTGGAACATAAGCACAACACAATACTCTGTTCCTGCTTGTGTCATGAGACAACGGTTAGAGAAGCAACTTTATTGATGCCAAAACTGGAACAGAAAACATTTCTGATCAGTCATAATCCTCGCCATTGTTTGGCTGATTGTCTACACAAATGTAACTTCAACACCTCAGATCAAGTGCACTCACGGCTGCATTCCCATCTTTTCAGTAGAAAGCATCCTGGAGTAGAGAGACAGTCCCCAACAGGTAAGCTGTCTCAAAGCAAAAGGAAAGCAGACGGTAACACACATGGTCAGAAGAAAGACTCAACTCGCGGTCCAACCTTTTACAAGTTAAAATACAAACTGGTAACCGTGCACATTTTGTACACATTACATGAGCCTTCAGAAAGCCCCCGTCCTCCAGTTTATGAAATGCTAGCATACTCTTTCATCTTGGAGATATACGTAGCCCCTGGGAGGTCACATCAGAATTGTCTAATACGACCTTACTCCACAGACAATAGAGAAAAGATCCCTCAAATATTGGCAGTGAATATTATGCTCTTTCAAAATGTTAGCATTAAAAGAGACAAAATACCAAAAGTTATCACGATGCGTAATGGCCCATTTCTTATATCAAATTATTGGCTTATGATTACTAATGCATTAATGTGTCTATCAAAGCCGGTAAGGTGGATTGGTGGTAATTACTTTGTATATTGCTTTTGTATATTTAACTAATAGCTCACGACAGGTCGTGGTATATGCTCATTATATCACAGCTAAGGGGCGTGGTTCGGCCCGACGCTTTTATAAAACGGTTACCAAGTGTGGCAATATGAAAGAAAAATACACACTCTAATTTAAATAGTTTTTATTCGTAAATAATGATGATCAAAATAAAATAGTCCCTCCGTTGCCTTCTGCACAAAACATAGTGCGAGGTGGTTGCTATGCAACAACACTAACAGCTATCGAACATATTAGACAGAGAGCGTTGATCCATTATTTGGTTGTTTATTTACATTAATGTGTATGTTGCTGTTTATTGTGCATCCACTGAAAAACTGTCCAGCATCAGTAGCATGGCTTACGTGGTCACTTGTATAGGTTGAGGTTGTTCGAAGCTG